TATCATATATCAAATGAAAGTTCCCATTCTCCAAAATGTGATTATGTAGTTTATTTCATTGATCTAACACATTATATCATGTGTTATAATAATTATTAAAACAATCACGACAATGGGAATGACTTCCATAAAAAAGCAAACATATAGGTCATGTTCCTGCTGATCACTACCTCCATATGCTATAGTCTCCTTATAATGTTATCGAGAGTTTTACATCAAAAAACATAATTTAAAGTAATAGGCTATTTTCTGTCCTGTTTTTAACCCCCCTCATCAGAACGCTCTGAATAGGCGTGGCGGATCGTACTTGACAGTACATCCTTCATAGATGAACGCTGCTGTCATTTAGGCCTAGGTCAAAAACGCATAAATACTCAGTACATATCAAAAGATGTGTAAGTACAGACAAAGCAATAGAGACCACGTAATAAAAACAGTTAGCCTACTCACATCCAAATTCAGCAGCATCTTTTAGTTTTAATCTCGCTGAAAATCCCCCGTCGAATTGTGCCTTGTAAACGAATCCGTAGTAAAAGGAAGTGACTGATGGGTTCTTACTGACGCGGTCTGGAACTTCTTTAAAAATAAAGTTCATCCACTCTTTCCTAATGTTACCATCAGAAGGAAGGCAATGGAAAGACTGTTTTCCCACAGCTTAGCACTTCACAGCATCTTGTCGTCTTCGGAGGCATCTTTATCGTTTGATTTCTGTGTAGACCTGCGTTCGCCGCGCTTACACTACGCGCGCGAATCGGTGGGCGGGGCTAAACTAGGCAGCGCTGTTGAAGCAGGTGTTGATCATTTTCCACCAAGGGCTGTTTAGCCACACTATTACATCATAGAGTAGAACATTCCACAGGCTGTGGTTTTGGCAGACTGGCTTCAATATTAGACTAACAAGAAAGTTTTGAGTTCTGAAACTTACAGGATGTTTTTAAAGTACAATGACCTCTTATATGTCAAAAGATCTTGACCCCTTTAAAGCAGACTGGGATCTTAGAGAAGAAGTGGCAATGGCACTGAAGAAAGACGTGCGATGAGCAGGGCCGTTTTAACCATAGGGCTAGGCGGGGCTGAAGCCCCGGGGCCCGAGCAAGGAGGGGGCCCGTGATTGGCTGTGGAGTAGATTGACTGGAGCGCTGATCGCCAAAGCCACGACGCCCCCCATTTATTAGCGCTGTTATTTAGTTGAGCTTTTCCGTAAATTCCATGCATTACCATTTGGAAATTGAAACGTAAAGTCTGAATTTGGTTTACCAATCAAATGCATTTATTCTATATTCGACTTTTGAACGATATGCGCACGTATCTATCAGGTGATCGCTGCCCAGTATGTCTGCATTCACCTCTCTTCACTTTGTTCTGGAGTAATCTGGAAATGGTCACGCAAAGGACAATTCAATAAGTAAAAATGTCAGCAATTCTAAAAGAGAGAGGGGCTCAAAAAACGAAAAACTTCAAATACAAACAACATAAAAAACATGACTTAGTAAATTCCCCAGCTATCAGGTTATTTTACTAAAGCTGATGATGGAGTGGAAGTTGCTGGAACAGCAAGTGAACCGGGCACATGGAGCAGGTAAAAACAGATTCATCGTCCACACAGATTTTTAGGTTAGTTTGATTATTAACTGGATTTATATTGTTTTTGTGTTTGAATTCATCGTCCACACAGATTTTTAGGTTAGTTTGATCATTAACTGGATTTACATTGTTTTTTGTTTGAACAAACTATATTCATTTAAGGGTTGGGAGATAATCCGGTCATAGCCCCGGGGCCCAGTGCGGTCTTAATGCGGCCCTGGCGATGAGAGAACGGACGGATAAAGGGACAAAACACCAAAAAGAATAATATATAACAATATAAAATTCTAATAAAATTGCGAGATATAAACTTAATTGCAGTTGTGAGATATAAACTCACAATTTTGAGGGAAAAAAGCCTGAATTGTGAGAATTGTTTTCACCTCACTTTTTATCTCACAATTCAGATTTTTTTTGTCAATTCTGAGGAAAAAAATAGATATAAAAACAAGATAAAAACACACAATCTGAAGAAATAAACTCTGAATTGCAAGATATAAACTCAGAATTTAAACTCAAGTCTTGCTGACTGCCCAGAGGCGGATAACAATGAAGAGATGGACCACGGCAGGGCTGGATTGGTAATCGGGCATACCGGGCATTTTCCCGGTGGGCCGACGCACTTAAGGGGCCGACAGAATGTTTTTTTGCCGAAAACCATCACGCAGGGACAGCGAGCAGCCAGTGGCCCATTGGTTTGTCTCCTGTATTGACAGCGTAAACATCCAATCACAATGCTC